AGTAGCCTAATTAATGTAAATTTAAAACATTGTTAAAGACAAGTAAACATCAGTAATAAAATAAGAACAAATGATCAAATTGCAAATAGCACAAATAAACACAATAGAACAAAGATACAAATAAAATAAACAGTGCTTTTCAGGTTTTCTGGTAGGTCTAACAGTAGTTTTCAGGTACATAATTTTAATAAAGTAAACAAATGTAAAATAACGTATAAATTAAATATAGATATTTTTTTATTAAAGTTACAAAAGTCATTCAGTCAATAGAGGGAATGCATTAACGTCACTTTCTCGCTGGAACACGCCCCCTTCAGCCGGACTGAGTGGCAAAAGAGCTGCTGCGTGGCTGGAGTTAATAGGGGAAACTGCGAAAACGCGAGTAAAACAAACTATTATCAGTTTAAACTAAAAGTTGGACTCAATATAGTGTTCCTTACAACTTATCAAAGATCCAGTCATCCATGGATATTGACATGCAGCCAGGAATCGTGTTTCCTGACATTTTTTATATGTGCCTGATTTCGACACCTGGGAAATAAATTAAGAAAATTTGCCTGTAAACGTTTTATATAAATACAACATAGATAGGTCTAAATCCGAGTGATCACTTACATTAATGTTATACTGTATATCATCATATCGTCCAGCCCTAAAACTTGTATAGTTTTTTGTCAGTGTTTATTTAAAAACATCCAATTATGCAGAATATAGTCTGTTCTCTAGCTTTTTGCAGTCTGTAAAAATATACAGTACCTCAGATTTCTGGTCAAATCTAGTTGTACAGTCAATCGCAAAGCTCTTTCCCGTTTTAGATGTGTTTTGTGTGTTTTTCACGGCATTCACGCTGAAAACAAATGCTGCCGCTCAGTCTTTTTGCCACTTACTGGGCGTGACCACATTCACTCCGGCAGGGCAGGACTGGGACAAAAAATCGGCCCGGGCATTTTGGCCCAGACTGGCCCACTATATAACACAACCGAACTTTGCAGGCCCTTGAATATGTATACCAACTCCTATTAAAACCACTAATGCCATAAGTGAGTAGGAGTGAGTAAGAGTTAACCGATGAAAATAACTACTAAGTTGAACTATACTCCACAGTGATGAATCCTAAAGAAAGCTATAAGCTGGGATAGCAATACCGGTTTTTCCCACAGGTTTTTGTGAAATCTGTGGTCAGTGCACCTCTGTCCCTCTAGGGGGGTTCGGGGGCATGCTCGCCCGTAAGAAAATTTTGTGCTTTTTAATGTTAAATTCATCAATCTGGTGCACTTTGAGAGTTAAAAATAAAGAGCTCCAACCCATATTCAGTGTGCAAATTGAACAAAGAAAAACTCAAAACTCTTTTAGTTGTGATATAGTGTCTGTCTACATTACACTACTACATAATAATAGTTATAATATTAATCCCATGGCAGTAATATCCATATGTTGTAAAACAAATGCACTGAAAAATAAAAGCAACTTTCATAATTAGTTTCGTACTAATTTCTATACAGAGATAAGCACATGATCTTTTATTTTGACGGAAACGGCATCAAGCTTTTATTTTGAAGAAAAATATGGTTTACAAACTCATTACTCATTATTGTCTTATTACAATTCTAATAAAATGCGTAATCGTCAAATATGCAGATGTGTAAATAATGCGTAACTGGGTAGTGGGTTCCTACATAGACTAATGGTGTGTTCACACCGAACGCGAATTTAATTATTTGGGCGAGTAGATTACATACAAAGTCAATGCAAAGACGCGAATAGACGCATCATTCGCGCCGGGCGTTGCGAATTGGGCGACGCGTTTGCCGCGAATGTCTTCCGCGCAAGTTGAAAAATTTGAACTCGAGCGAATGTTCAAGCGTCTAACTAAACGCGATAGACGCGTATTTGACGCTCTATTCGCGTTCGGTGTGAACACACCATAAGTGTTGTTGTGAGAGTAGCCTAGTTCTGCTTACCACAGTTCTCTGCACTCACTCATCTCTCTCCTTATCCTCCTCACTATCCTCATCAGACACTTGAAGGGCCTTTGAAGTTTCTTTTTTCATGTTATTTCTCTGCACATTCCTTGCGTTTCTTCTCCATCACTCTGACTATTTTGACAGATACACACTGACACTGCTCGCTCACTCAGAGCTCAAAGGGGGAGGAGTTTAAAGATGTGATTGGACCAGCCCAGTGTCAATCAAGAAAATAACCAATGGGCTGCTGATTTACGCGTTTCATCATGCGCCGGTCTGTGAGAAAAAGAAAAACCTACGCTGATTTTGTCCAATGCATTACACCGGCACAAAGATCCCAGAGCCGCCAATTAAACAAAACTAAACGCAATGGGCCGCCGATATACGAGTTTTATGGGCCGTTCAGACAAAAAAAAAATTTCATTATGTAGGCCTGTGAGATGTATCGGCCCACAAAGCACGTCGGCCCACCGGGCAAATGCCCGGTATGCCCGATGGCCAGTCCAGCCCTGCACTCCGGCCAACGGTGACGTCATGCGCATACCCTCTATAGCAGTGATTTCTTTGTCCTTTGTTGTTTAACATTAAAAGCACAGCAGCAGGTTTAAGTTGCTGTCCCTTTAAGAAGCGCAGAATGCATGGATCCAATATACTGTTACGCATGTGTTTTATGTTCACATAAGACATTATCAAATATGTTAACTGGGATATTGCCAAGATGGCGTTTTTACATAATTTTGTGTGAATTCGTCATTTCAAGCGCAAGATGACGTGAAAGAGAATTCAATGCAGTATTCAAGCACTCTCTGAGACGCTGCTTTCCGTGTCCGTGCTACGGTAGTGTGCGCGCTGTAAACTCCGTGTCCTGTAATAATGTAGGGAGCCACTTGTTATACATAAATCACATAACAGTTCAAGTTTTTACTTGCATGTATAATTTAGTTTTAATTCAAATGGTTTAATCCAGTTTTAATTCGTTTTAATCCAATTTAGTTTAATCACTAAATGGTGTGAATGATCAGCAATCAAGAGCATGCAACAGGAGTGTGCACGTGCTCCCTCTCTCTCTTTACATGACGTTAGTAATGCGTTTTACCTTGTTTGCTACTGACATTGCTACCGACCAAACTACAGACTTTCCAGCATCTGTGAAAAAGGGATGCGCTCGACAAGCTCAAGCATCTGTTTCGCTGCGCACTCAATCCACTTTGTTTCGTTTATCAGCTCGCACACACCAGCTAGGCGTAAATATTTTATTTCTTTAACATTCAATATATATTTATTTTATAGACATCCTTCTCTGATATATCCATTCTGCTCTCTGTTTGCTCTGTTGTCGATGTTTCTTTGTCATAAGTACTGTACTGTACACGCTGCGTGGTATCAGTTTTTGGTATCGGAGCATTTCTTTTTTTATTGATTTTTGTCAATTAATTTGATCGATTACAGCTCTAGAGGTTTTGAAAGGCTGATGGCTTCTTAAATTGTTCTCCATTTCTATTTTCAAAGTAAAATAAAAAATGGTAAATTTCTATACTCTGCTTTTATCCACGCTGACCATCCTTCATTTACACAGGGTTCTTGATTTTATGTCGGAAGTTCCCTGTGGTCATTTGTCAGGTTGCAGTATTTGGTGTACAGTTTCCTTACAACAGTCCCAGATTGCTTTTCAACATGGGGCAAAATATTACAGACTGTTGTGGTCTAATTGGGGCTTTGTCGATTTGGCCTTTGGTTACTCAAATTGATGTTGGCTCACTTTCTCGGAGCAGCGCCAACAACCCGGCAAGAAGCCACAAAAGCCTCTGAAATAAATAAGTCATGGATTTCTTCCTGGTGTCCTCCTTTTATTTATTCTTTTTTTGTGCCTTTGCTGTAGTTTTATCAGCACAGATAAACACTGGCGAGACATCAGACTAAAGTGTGTCTGTGTTTGCCCCTGGTTTGCTGGAGGGCTTAGTGACAAACACTGGGCCAGAGCAGCAGGACTGTGTTTTTGACAGGCAAGTGTGGAGAGACCGAGACGTTTGTTAGTGCAGCACAGCAGCTCATTCCTCTTGCACATTTGTGTCTTGTAAATTACGACTGAGAGAGAGCAAATGTTTATTTAGAAGAGGAGAGTGTCTGAATATGCGTCGGAGCATTAATCTACTTAGATTAACTACAGCTTAGGTTAACTTGCCTTTAAAAAATGGTTTTCGTGGACAAAGTGCAAAGCTAGACAAAGGTTATTATTTTTTTGGTTCAAAGCTCATCAAACTCCAAAAGTTAAGCATATATTTGTCCCTGGCCTTTCTTCTCTTCCTGGTCTCATTTATTTTCTTCAGTCTTTGCTTACTTAAACTTAAAAACTTAAAAATAAGTTCATCATTTTTGTTACACTAACAACATCGAATACATAAAATATATACCGGTACGTGATATTGTTAACTGAGAAAAACTGAAACAAAAACATTTTCATTACAAATACCTATTAAAAAGAATATTTTTAGTTTTTGATACTTAATTATATTATAAATCTTGAAACTTTTACAACCCACCAGCTTTAAACATGAAAATGCCACTAAATGTCAATAATGCTGGACTGTTGAGAAATTTACCATTACCCTACTGGACATCTTGAGGCCTGTTCACACCAAGAACTAAAACTATAAAGATAAATATATTTGCGTCCACACCAGCGGACGATATCGTTCTGTTTATTCTAAGTGCATGCATGTCTGTCACTTTAAATGCTTGAGCTCATTACAGCAGGATGGATTCTGATTGGCTGTCTATGTTTTTATCATTCATTAGCTGGATAAAATCGTTCTGAAAGTGATTCCAACGATACTGTTTCTCTGTGCCGTTATCGTTATAACTGAACTGCTATTCTTTATTATTGAGAAGGTTTTTAGAACTATATTTTTATCGTTATATTTATAGTTATCGTCCTTGGTGTAAATGGGCCTTTACATGTGTTTATTTACTTAAATTTTTGCCTTCAACATGTTGAGCAATAGAAGGGTAAAATCTTTCAAATGTGTCGCCCCTCAGAGAGAAGACACAGCTCCAGCAGCAAGCCCCCATCCAGCTATCCCGCCTCTGCTGCATTTGCAATCTCTCGAAATAAGGGCAGCATTGGGGGCGGAGTTGGGGGCGGGACCGTCAGTGGAAGCACACTGGCACGCACCTCCAGCACAAACAGCAGCGTCCCCACTAAAATCTACAAACCAACCAAAGAGAAGCCTCCTCACCGGAAGCCTCACTTCCCCTATAGGGTGCTGCAAGAAGAGAGGTGTGTATGTGTGTTTTGATGGAGTGTAAGTGAATTTAGTGGATAAATTCGTTAAGATAAGCAGCCCATTCTTGCGTAACACAATAGATGTAATATGAAACACACCCACCTTTGGTACAATATAAGGCTGTCTTTATTTCTCTGCCTCCCAGCCCAATTCCTGTTGTTAAAGTAGAGAAGGTCCCTCTGAAGGTGGAATCTTCAGCCAAGCTCCCCCACGTGCCCGCCTCTTCTTCCACCTCCACCTCCTCTTCCTCCAATACTGTGAGCACCTCTCCCCTGAAGTCAGGCCTTAACTTCCCCTCCATACCAAAGGCTCCTCTGCTGGCCCCTGGTCAGATCCCTAATGGAAAGGGCCACCTTTCGTCCCAAGACAAGAAAACGGACAGCAGCAGTGCCAGTAGCAGAAGACCCTTGTACAAGAGACAAGGTAAATGCTAATAGTCACTGCTGCTACTGTATATTTATGCTATTTGTCACAGGAAATTCTACTAAATTGTGTTGTAAAAAAAGTACACCCCTTTTCTTGATCTTATGTGTTCTGTTTCTGTTATGATATTTTTCTTCTAGAGCGAGAGTTTAATCCAGATATCCATTGTGGGGTTATGGATATGACAGCACATAAGCCATGCACAAGATCCTTAACATGCAAGGTGTGTCTCCTTACACTTGTTTTAAGTTGGAATTATGGATGCACTGTGGAAATTTATTAAAAAAAATAATTTACACATTAGCTTCATGTGTTAGACATTCAGTCAGACTTTTTAGACCAGACTTTAAACTTGCCAAAAATATTAAACCCAGACATTACACAATAGATTATTTTATTATATACTATTATAGCATCAATAATATAGCAAAAATAATAAGGTCCGATATTATATTATATTGTATTTTATAAAAATCTTTGAATATTGCCATAATACTATAATATAGCAATATAGAGGTAATAAAATAGCAGATAAAAAGCTCAAATATTATCCTGGTTTTATCTTCCCAATCAGAATGTTCTTGGCCTTTATCCTTATGGTCACCAATATATTGCGGTATAGTGCATCTCTAGGACTTCCCTAATGAGTAAGTGAACCAAACATTTAACTGCTTGACTAAACAGTTAAATATCACCCCCATGTCTCCACAGACACATTCCATAAGCCAGAGGAGGGCGGTGCTCGGGCGGCGGCAACGCTTTGACACGCTGCTCGCTGAGCACAAGAGCAAAGCACGGGACAAGGAGTTGCACTTCAGGTTGGACCCCTCACACCCAGCACCCCCTCTCAGGGACCCTCACCCTCCCCACTCCCGCCTCCCACAAGACCCTCACCCGGTCTCCCATGGCAATGGCACTGCTGATGCCACCAAGCCTTTGCCCCTCAAACCCAAACCTCATAATTCTGGGCTTGCACGGTGAGTTGCTTCCTCCTGCCCCACTATTTCCTCTAAATCAGATTCCTGTTCGATTGATTAGCCAAATTGTGGAAGTTTACAGTTTTTTTTAGATTTTTAGATCTCCAGTTGTTTTTGTTTAGGTCAACCAAGGCAAAGGTTAAGATGCTCTTCTTTATCTTCAGACTTAACAACAGTAACTTTCACAGTGGAGGAGACCCAGCCATGGCCCACGACCAGACCCACCACTCTCACCCGGCCCCTGTTAGTACTGAGAGCAGCCGCCTCTCCAGCGACGAGGGGGAGAACGAGGAGAGGGAGGAAGCTATGGAGAAACTGGACTGCCATTATTCAGGTTACCACCCACGACCAGCCGCTGTAAGTACAAGAAACCTTGTGATCTTTTTCTCGAACTCCAGTGCCTGCATAAACAGTCTCTTGCATTTATTTTGAGCTTTTGAATCACAAAGCTATTCTTAAATGAGTTTGAAATGAATATCCAGGGCCTCGTTTTAATTGAGTCGGCCTTCATCTGAATGATTGAAGAGATTATTCCGAATAAGTCCATATAAATGTACTATTCATGTTTTGTCTCTCACCAGTACTGCACTTTTGGAAGTCGATTGTACGGTAGAGGATGTTATGCGTTGGACCGCCGCTGGGATCAAGTACGGTGTGCTCTCACCACCATGCTGGACAAGCATGTCAACTCACAAATGTGGAAGTGAGTGTGTTGAGACCCTTCCTGCAAGTAGGTGTTTTTCTGATGAACACAGTCCTAATTGTGATTTCTTCCATTTACTTTGTAGGAAAATCCCTCTGGCGTTGGAGAACTCTGCAACAACACCGACAGCCTCTCACCGGACAAGCACAAATTCCCATTCTTCCTCATCCTCCTCCATTTCTGCAGGCTTTCTCAGCCTGTCTTCGTCGCCGCCTTATGATAGCAAGCCTGTCCTGTCGTACGGCACTACCCTGAACGCCCGCTCTTCTCCGCAAGCCTCCGCAAGCGAGCAGCCCGCCTACAGTGGCGCTTCTAGACAAGTGTCAGCCTCATCACCCCAGATGCCTTCAGCCCACTTGTCCTCGCTACCCTCGTTGGGCTCCAACCGACCCCTCAAATCCCGATCTGGTACAAAATCCTTTAGGGCTCGGGAGCCATCCTCCAGCCTAAGTAACTCTGTCGTCAAGACAGACGACAGACGACAGAATAACAGCAGTGTTAGCGTCAGCGGAAGTGCGAGCGGGAGCCTCAGTTTGGGAAAGAAGCGGAAAAACAGTTCCCTGCTAACCTCCCATAACACTTACACCTCGGAATCATCCTCATCCTCCTCTTTTAAGAAGAACTGCGCAGTAAACGTGGGTAGCCTGGGCAGTGCCTATCATTCCTCGCTCGCCTCCACCCCCACTTCGTCTTCGTCGTCATCAGCGTCGTCGTCATCCCACAGTGGGGTGTACAGTGTGGGGGTAAACTGCACCCCAGGCAGGGCCAACTCCCTGAGCTTGAAGCAGGAATCGACGGGACGTGGCCCTCCTTCTGGCAGCCCCGCTGAGTCTATTAAACGCATGAGTGTGGTGATGAACAGCAGCGACTCCACCCTCTCCCTCGGGCCGTTTGTTCACCAGAGCAGCGATCATCACGCAGAGGCACGTCTAGAAGCCAAACGGAGGAAGGGTTCGCCTGGCTCAAGTAGCCTCAACAGCACAGGTACATACATCTTATCAATACAGTGTGTTGTACAATACAATTCCTGCTTCTTGTACTTGAGTTTTTGAGAACCATCAGGCTGACTTTCTAGAGCTCCATCAAATCCTAGAAACACTATAAACCAAAAATTCATTTATAGACTTTACGTAATTATTATATGCTGTTTGCTCATTCAAATTTTGCAATGCCTTTGACAGCGTCTGGAGCAGGAGGGGGTGGAGGACAAGGTCCTGGCAGGCCCAAAATGGCCAAGTCTCCATCAATCAACAACATCCACGGCAAGCACGCTCGCTCTATACCCGGACCACCAGGGCTCCCTAACAATTCACTCATACATCAGGTTAGTTTCTTTACATCATCCGGTTGCTTCATTGTTTTAGTTCAGAATGTAACATTGCCCGTTGTTTCCGGCAGCCAAAGGCTCGTCCCTGACACCGGTGTGGAGGCTCTGAGCGTGCTGAGCAGTAGGCTGGACCCAGAGCTCCCTCGGCCCCCTCATGCCACTCTGCACGAGGCCTTCTTTTTCTCTTACTCTTCCCACAATCCTCAGGGTGGAATGCACACTGGGTGGCCCATTTGATGTCCTTCGTGGGGATATACTCCCAAAGCCATGCAGGGGGCACTCTCCTGGGATAGGATAATAAGCCAGAGAGATCTAGTTCTCCTGTCGGTGGTTATAATGAATCTATACAATGCACCATTGGGTACAACGCCTGCTGCGTAGAGCTACCCAGCCTGAGCACTTGCGCTGGGGTCTGAAGGTACAGATTTGGGCTGGTACGTAGCCTCACCAACACTACCAAGCATAGGAGGGATGGGCGACACAAACAAGATGAGTTCTTCGGTATGTGTGGACTACTGGAAACTGAAATCCTACTCAGCCTTGGAGGAAGTGTACAGGAGAGGAACATCCCTTCAGTAGACGCACAATCAACTTAAGTTAATCATAACACATGATCTCTCTCTGGAAGGCTGAATAAGATCAAGCTACGCTCCCTGCAGATCGACACGACAGGAGTGGAGTTTCAACACGAGCAACCTAAACTTAAAAGATTATGCAAACTAGACATTTTTACACCACATTTTGTTTACAGGCTAGCAAATGTATAGCAAACAGAACAAAATACCATTTATCATACACTTTTTGTGGAAAGAAATGAATCATGTTTAAATTTACATAGTTTTGTTTTATTTCAAGGGAATTTTTATGAACTTCGGCTAATGGAGTTACTTTTTTTTACAGAACAATCCAACCCTGACTTGAACTCTAACACCCTGCATTACCTAAAGCACTTGATTCCCCCCCCCCCCCCCCCCCCATTCATTTGAATAATTTCAGGTTTGTTAGTTGCCTAGCATGTCTTTACTGAATCTCTGAGCAACAGTTGTCTCTTGAAGCTCCAAAAAATATTCAGTTTTAGGTACATTAAGGGCTTGATTCAGTAAAGCTTTTTAGCACATGCGAAAACAACTGCAGGAACAAAACGAGAGACCGCAGGTGACGTCTCGCCTCCAATTACCCATTGTAGCACTAAAGAAGCATGTGCTGAAATCTTAATGTACTAAAATCTGCAGTCTTGCTCGAAAATGATTGTAGGAGAGCCATTTCCTGGTGTCAATGCCTTAGGCATGGTATTGTTTTTTTGCCGTTTCAATCTCAGAAAGGGGCTTATGGCTAGTTGCTGTTGAGCCATAGACCAACATTACAGACACACTATCATCTCAGCAATGGAGTAGACATTTTCATGACTCAGTACTGTGAGACACATATACAGTAGTCTGGCCATCCCCATCTCATGAAATAACCACTAACTTGTACTGCGACCCAACGTTCCTGCATTGATCCGACACGAACCTAAAGAGGTTAGTAGCTGGACATTCTGGTTTAAATCTCATTTTCATTGTGGGTCTGTCAACTTAAAAAGGCAATAGATCCTTTTTTTGGCTCGTTGATCTTCAGAAGAGATGTTGAGCTGGATTTTGTGTAAGTTGGGTCTTCTCTTTAAAACTCCTGTAAATTCCTGAACTCCACTGATGTCAGTCAGCAATCGTTGCTGAGAAGTAGAGCATGAATTTTTTTTTGTGTGTGTGTGCGTGTATTTTTTCCCTTCAGCTTTTTCGTACACGAAACCGAATACGAATATTGAAGTATCCCTATTTCAGAAATACATATTTTGTTAAAGAATTGTACATATGGAGATGTATTTTTGCACAGGCATTTTCGTAAAACTTTTTGGTACAATTGAGATCACTATTATTTATTTAGTAAATGGAAACATTCTAAGATTATTAGAAGTGGTTCACTGCCAAGCAAATAATGCAATACGCCACTCTATCCAGACACCGCTTCTTGTTAGTCACATGCCGAGTTCCCCCAGACAGATTGTTGCCACAGTAGTGGGAAATCATCCACCGTATATATATATTTTTTAGGTGTTAATAGTGCTTTCCCCCCTCCCATTTCAATCCAAGAGGTCAGAGAATGTGATCAAAATAGCCCGTTACAACTGTGCAAAAGATTTCTGGCTGGCTGATGTATTTTGTAGGACTTTTCTAACTGGAAGAGGGAACAAAACAGTTGTACAGTGCAAAAGGTGCACCACTGTTGCCAAATGTTTTAATTGGATACATTGCTTTTTAATTACTTATTCATTTGCTTTTATTTAACGCTGACAAAAACAAAAAAAGAGAAAGTGCCTGAATTAGTTTCTCATTGACTGTTGTTAAGGCAGAGCTTTTTATTTCATGTATTCATTTTTCCACAGTACTTGAATGTTATATAAAGGTTAAGAAACTTTTTAAACCTGCCTAGGAATCTCATACGTCGCCCTTTCCCCCTTCAAGTAGAGCGGTAACTGATTGATGAAATGCATGGCAGAGGAGTGACACTTGACACTGACATGAGAAAAGCTTCCTGTCTGTCCCTTGTATTCTTTTATGACTACTTTTGATATTTGAAATTTTCAAAGTGAGAGGGATAGATATTTTTGTGGCAAAGTCAGTGATTTCAACCAATGTTTTAGGCAGATAAATGTACTGTTTACCTTGAAATTGTAACTCCACTGTTTTCAGATGACGAAAGCTTTGTAAAGATGTTCGATTAAACAACAGATTTGGAATGTGAATCTAAGATAAAAACAGTTTGCTTTTTGGGGAAGAAGCCTCTACATATAAACCTATGTACAAGTGTGTATATTTTGATTTCTTTCTTTTTTTTTGTATACATATTCAAAAATCATTTGATCAGCTGGACTTTTGTGTGTTGGCTGCTATGTAATTCATGAACAAACACAGTAGGGTAGATTTACTTAATATTTAAAGAAAAGATTGTATAGTATATTTGTTTTGTAACAAGTTTCTGTAAATATATAAAAAAAATAATTTATACAGTTATTTATAAGAAAAATGTGTCAGACTCCTCTTTTTTTTTCCCATTTGCTCACACAACAAAGACAAACTCCAAAGTTTCCTCCAATTCAGTTTTATTATATACTGTACATAAAACAAAAGACGGGTTGCTCTCAAGAAAAGATGGGTATCGATCAATCGCCACATGCTGGACTACATGTTGATCACTCTGGACAGCTTCTGCACTCTGTTGAGCAAGAGATCACCTTTCTTTATGGTCTCTTGGTACTGCCAGTTCTTACTATCAGGTCTGGGAGAGAAAAAAGGACAAGTAATGCACAGTTAGTTGACCATAGATCAAACAGGGATTTAAATGATTAATAGACACATTAGCATTTAGGTCTTCACCTGTTGGTTTCCACAATCTCATTAACTTTGTCGATCTTGCAATGTAAACGTCCAGCGGCGATAAATCGTGACAGCTCCCTTGGGAAAGGAAAAGACCAAAGTAAGTGAAGAAAATATGTTTATGTAAGTTTTAGTATACAAGTTTATATGAATGTGGGAGCGTACTGGTCGATGAACTCTGTGCTGACTCCAAACGCTTCGGCCATGTATCCCAGCGTGAGGGAGCGGTAGGATTCCAGTAACTGGCTATAGGCCAGGATGCGCATCTCTCGAACATAGTAACGGTAATGAGGAGCAAACAACCAGTCTTGCTTCATCTCCTGTTCCACTCGAGCTACAGAAGAGAAACAGATGGAACATCTAACAAACAATTTTAAACAACAGAAGACTAGAAGTGCTTTCAATAAACACTGCAAATAATATAGCTTACAGCATCTTAAAGTGGAGAGTGGCTAGTTAAGCAATAACATTCTCTTAAAGGAGAACTCTGGTGCAAAATGAACCTCGGGTGTAATAACACATTGGTACAGACTAAATCGTTCCCTGAGATGTGTTTTCATGATAATCGAATGTAAAGAGTTTTATCTCTAAAAACAGTTTAGCTTATAACGCTAGTATATTGGGCATCTAGTAAGCAAAAAGAGATCGCTAGTTAATACCACCAACAAGGCTCAAATTAGCCCCACACTAACACGGCAGCATAATGAGCTTTGTGTAATGTAATGTCCTTACATGCAAACCGAAGCATTGAGAACTTTGTAAGTGTATAGACAGTTTAATAAGAAGATACTTTACACAGACAGTACAGTTAGCGCATCCAGACAGGAGCCATCTTGGAAAACAGTCTCGACCAATCGAACCACGAGGGTGAGCGAACAGTACGTGTAGATATTGAAGATAAGATAAATTATATTAATTTTTTTATTTTCTCTGTTGCGTTAAGTGCTTCTTTTATGCGCTCAGTGCTTTCTTCCGGAAACAACGGACCATATGAGATTCCAAGTCACAGTTCAGCTCACGTATCACCGTGTTCGTGGTTTGACTGATCGAGACTGTTTTCCAAGATGGGTCCTGTCTGTATGCGCTAGCTGTACTGTCTGTGTAAAGTATCTTCTTATTAGGGGTGTAAATCGGAGCCTACATGGCGATTCGATACGATACCGATTTCTTAAGCCAACGATTCGATTATGTTCGATACTTCAGAATCGATACGATTCAATAATCGATATTTTTACATGATATCTATTTCAAATAAATCAACAAAAATGTTTATAATTTGCCTTTTATTGAGAATACAGGAACAGTATTCTATTCACATAATGTGTATGTTGTGCTCAATGCACTGTAAATAGAACAGCAAATATAACAGTTACTGCATACAGTTCTAAACTTGATTCTATCCAATCCTGGTGCGTTTCCGTGCATCTTACGTCATCGCAAACGTGCACGACGCATGATAGAAAACAGAACGCGGGTCAATATATTGTGTTTTTTTATTTTATTTGGTGCTATTATGCACAGCTAAGTGAACAACACCGGTTTACTGTGTGTCGCATTTGGCTTTTTGCTGATTGCAAACGCAGGAGACAGTGGATTTCCATTAATTTGTTGCCCTGAGTCCACGCGCTATGTGTGTGCGAATACAGACTCACTCTCGCTCTTATCCAAGGTAAATTATCAACACTATCATCCCTTACATGTGTTTTATTTAACGAAATACATCATAATCAGCTAATGCGCAGGTCACTTACTTCCTGAACAAGTGCGCACCCGAGTCGCTTTCAAATTCACGCGAGCCGCGGCACGGTTCGAGTGCAACCGAACTCAGCGCACCTCCTCCAGGCAGTCTCGGGTTTGGGTTTGGTACCCCAGTGCGCACCCGGGTCCGCATGACAGACATCTTTTACATAATTAGCGATTTTTCATGCGAACCGTTCCCATTCCGTTCCGAGTTGGTGTGAAAGCACCCTAGACTTTTCAAGTAAGCTGTTGAAGTAGCCTTTTGTACACATTAGCACCTGTTTGTTTACGTTAGTACCTGCTAGCTTGGAATTCGCCGACTAAGTGACTGAGGGTGCATTCACACTGGCAGTTTAGTTCGGTGACTAACTAACGTTAGCCCAGTGCATAACAACAATCGTTTGTACACATATAAGCGGATGCTGAAAATAGACAGGCGGCAAAACAAACACATTAATCGATACTCTTGCTAACGCATCGATGCATCGAATCGTCAGCTGTATAATCGATGCATCGATACGAATCGATTAATATTTACACTCCTACTTCTTATTAAACTGTCTATACACTTACAAAGTTCTCAATGCTTCGGTTTGCATGTAAGGACACTCATTATGCTGCCGGGTTAGTGTGGGGCTAATTTGAGCCTTGTTGGTGGTATTAACTAGCGATCTCTTTTTGCTTACTCTATGCCATAGGTTCTCAAAGTGCGGCCCGCCGAAACATTTCTGGCGGCCCGCGATAACATCTGTAAAACTGTTAAAACTATTGCTTTGAAAAAATTAATATCTCCGTTTAGTGGTGTTTAGCGGCATCCATAGGCATAAGCGGTAATTACATGGTCCGACCGACCGATCGCACTTGACCTCACTCCCAAGGCCACCAGGAACAGTGGTTGTCTACACAGGAATAGGAATCGTGGCCAACCGAAACCAGCACCACAAATCCCATTGCAATTTAAAAGGGTATGTTGACCAAGTAATCAATATTCAATGTGACTTAATAATAATCGTAACAATGTCAAGCTTATTAATAGCCGCGTTTCCATTACCTTTCAAAATGTTCGCGGGGGCGAACACTTGCATTTTCCTATCAACAGTGGAAACAACTTAAACTAGTCTATCATTTCTGGTCATACAGAAAATAATAATGCATTATTCGCAACTACTTGTATTTGTGTAAACTCATAACAAGAAAACGTGCTTTTGTAAAATAAAATAAAACAATCAGTAGCCTAGGCTACTACGCGCTTTCATGATCTCCGTGAACTGGAGCGCGAGAACTGAAACAAAATATAGCTAGCCTATGTAGGCTAAAGCTTAAAATGTGCACTTTTAAACAAACAAACTCGAATCGAAAGCAAATACCTGATTATGTAATCCGTATGAAAGGTGGATTTCTCTCTAAAAGCGCATCTGCTTAACAGCGGAGATGGAGATATGTTTTTAGCCGACACTTAGAAAACAATAGTTTATTAATAAACAATTAAAATGCCTCGCTGTTTTTTCAGACGCATTTATTATCATTAGCCTATAACTCACCTATAAATCAGGCTAGATCAGACACGTACAGGCTATATGGCTCTTCTCATTCATCACTGCGGGAAAAATAGAAATTCCAGGTTCTAATTTGGCCTTAGAAAACCAGTAAAATCGACATGTTTTCCATATTAATTTGTGAATATTTAAAATGTTTAATAAAGGGACAGAAAGTCATTTAAACAAAAATCTGAAGTCTGTCGATATTTACTTTTTTTGCGCAGCAGTTGGTGAAGCCAGTTTAAATTAAAATTTTGTTCAACTTTGCGTTTTAAAAAGACAACAACCGTTCATTTTTTGTTGTTCAGTTACGGGTTAAAAAAGATAGATAATAATATGCAAATCTGCAATAATGGAAACGCGACTGACAAGCAATGATAGAAATGAATGATGATGATGACTTGTTTGGTAAGCTTCTATTTTTAAAGTTTCTTTCTCTCCCCCCCAAAATTTTCACAAGTTTTGCCAGGTTTAGCCTCAGTTATGAATTAAAATGTGTTTATTGCAACTAATGTAAACTGTAGAGATGCAACCTGGTCATTAAAATAATTTCAAATGGGATTTTCTTTTCAGTTTTTTTTTCTTCGTTTTCTCCCCCGCCACTTTGGCGGCCCTCAGTTCAATGTTGGGTTCCTAAATTGGCCCTCACCTATCAAAACTTTGAGAACCCCTGCTCTATGCCAATATACTAGCGTTATAAGCTAAACTGTTTTTAGAGATAAAACTCTTTACATTCGATTATCATGAAAACACATCTCAGGGAACGATTTAGTCTGTACCAATGTGTTATTACACCCGAGGTTCATTTTGCGCCGGAGTTCTCCTTTAAGAGAATGACATGTGAAGGCCAAGTTTGGTACACCATACTCAGAATTTTTCCTCTGCATTTAACCCATCCAAGTTAGTGCACACACACACGGAGCAGTAGGCAGCCATTTTGCTGAGGCGATTGAGGGTTGGGTGTCTTGCTCAAGGGCACTTCAGTCATTTCATGCCTGTATTGAGAATCAAACCCATGACTTTCGGGGTCGCTCCACTGTTATTTTACTTACCCAATGATTGGAAGAATACAGAATAACGGCACTCGTAGAGAGAGAAGAGGTACTGACGGACAGCAGGTAAACTGTGCAACACCTCCAAGATCTCAGCACCTTTAATCACCTGAAAGAAAGCCAGAGATTCCAGGGCTTATTTCTATTAGATTGAATTGGATCTGTATTAGGTTTTAGTCATATAACACTTAAAACGCTTAATAAAGGAAGCCTTGTGTTAGCAGACTACTTTATGAAAATTGCACACTTGCTTTTTGATACCAAAAAAAAATGGATCTCTTATGTAGAGCTAAAGCACTTTGTGTTACTCTGGATAAGTGTTTGTTAAATGCATTAAATAAAAATGTATAGATATGATTCATTAAAGCTGGGGTTTTCAAACTGGGGTATAAGGAGCCTCAAATGGGTGCTAGTAAAGAGGTCAATAGTAAATTTGAGGGAAAATATTTTTAGGGCTGTCAAAATTCAAGTTTTAACTCATGAAACTAATTAAAAGTTTAACGAGTTAATTTTAAAACATTTAGAGAATTTCATATTACCGTTTCCTTTTTATTCTGCTTTCTAAAGTCTAGTCTGAAATCATGAAATTTACCATGATTATTTTATTTTATTGACAGCCATAGTGTTTAACATTAAGAAATCAACAAAAATTAAATTAAAATTTGAGTATTTGTAAGAGTTTCATCTGAAAATATTTATCTTTAGCTTAGAATATTTGTAATATTCCATGATAATAATCAAATAGCAAAATAATTTCACAAGCAACATGAAATAAAATCACTACTTTTTCTTTACTCTTGTTTGTGGGTCCATGGCATCAAAAAGTATTTTAAAACCCCTGCTCTATGGACTGAGGAAGCTGAGAAGACAAAATATGAAAAATGTCCACACTACCATTTAAAAGTTTGGGGTTTGTTTGATCTCATGTAAGAGTATCTTATGCTCACCGAGGCTGCATTTATTCGATGAAAAATACAAATGAAATATTATTACAATTTAAAATGACTGCTTCATAATGTTTTAAAATGTCATTTATTCCTGTGATGCAAAATTTTCAGCATTATTACTCAACATTATTATACATGTATTTGCTGTCCTTGCTGAATCATAGTATTAAATAATAAAAACAAATAAATTCTAGACCCCACATTTTTTGAACAGTAGTGTATACACTGACTTTTCTGAAAAAAATATAAGATTGTAGCCCAAAGCAGGACTTAAATCACATTTGTTCATTTGTAAAAAAAAACAAAAAAAACATCAGCACTACATTTAGGCCAGATCTTACCTTCTCTCTCAGGTCAGGCCTCTTCAGTGCGATCATACACACATACACAGTGTATGTAACAAACGTCTTGTAGTCCATAAGCTCATATGAGGTGAATGTGGAGACAGTGTCCAGAAAGAGCTCCGCTGCCTGCTTGAAATCCCGAATGGCCACACAGTAGAGACCCTGATACACCTTCAGACGATTCCTCCGGTCCCAGTCACCACCTTCTTCAATCAGGCTGTTCATGGATGCAAAGTTCAAGATTCAGGCCAACATTTCAGCTTGAGATGCATTTGTTCATTAAAAATAAGTATGCACTCTATACCACACCTTTTGGCTTTCTCAGTGTTGCGGGTTATGAGGTCGTTGTCCATGTAAAACAGGCCGATCCTCAGCAGGTAGAAAACTATATCTAAGCGATGACCGAGAGCAACAGTCTTGTCATAGGTCTTCCTGAAGGCAGTCAGGGCCCCTTCCTAAATGAACGGCAGAGAAATATAAACAGTGCATTTAAAGATGAAATAGAATCGATACAGCGAAGCTGAACAGATAGAAAGCAGGACATTGAATGTACAAATGCAAAATGCCGATGAACAGATGTAACCAACATCATCGTTCAAAAGTTTGGGGTCAGTACGATTTTTTTTTTTTTTCTAAAGAAATTAAAGACTTTTATTCAGCAAGCATGCATTAAATTGATCAAAAGTGACAGTAAAGACATATAATGTTACAAAAGATTTCTATTTCAAATAAATAGTAAGAGATTAAGAAGCAAAACTGTTTTCAACATTGATAAGAAATGTTTCTAGAGAACCAAATCATCATATTAGAATGATTTGTGACCCTGGACAACAAAACCCGTCACATGGGTCTTTTTTATTATTATTGAAATGTATGTAGCATCTGAAAGCTGAATACATAAGCTTTCCATTGATGTATGGTTTGTTATGATAGGACAATATTTGGTCGAGATACAACTATTTGAAAATCTGGAAGCTGAGGTTTCCAAAAAATTGCAACATTGAGAAAATCGCCTTTAAAGTTGGCGATTGTGCTGCATTCACTCACAAAAATGAACGTTTTATATATTTACGGTAGGAAATTTACAAAATATTTTCATGGAACATTGATCATTGCTTAATATCCTAATGATTTTTGGCATAAAAGAAAAATGGATAATTTTGACCCAAAAAATGTATTGTTGGCTATTGCCACAAATATACCCGTGCTACTTGTGACTGCTTTTGTGATCCAAGGTCACATTTCTGAAGGATCCTGTGACACTGAAGACTGGAGTAATGATGCTGAAAAATCAGCTGTGCCACCACAGGAATAAATTACATTTTTAAATATATTAAAATAGAAATTGTAATATTTCACAATATTACTGTTTATACTGTTTGCTTGATCAAATAAATGCAGCCTTGGTGAGCTTCCGTTTAACATTTTTAAAAAAAAATCTTATCAACCCCAAACTTTAAAATGTAGTGTATATGTAATTCATGTCTAAAAATGAATCATATTTAACAGAAAATGCAGTCCACAGTTCTTTCAGGAATTGTTTAAATCATCATCTTCGCTGTGTGAATTCTTACTTTGTCACCGATGCGTATGAGATATTCAGCTTTGGCCATCATGGCATCCCTGATCTCACTCTCGCCGAGGTTCTTCTCGGCATCTTCCAAAACATCATCCAGCCGTTTCAGCTCGTCCTCATTTTCTTTCTTCATCTTACTCAACAGATCCGTGTCCGCCTGCCATTTCAGATCTTTACACAGACCTTCATAGTATGGGGCCATATCTACAAAATAGAGTATCACATCATCACCAATCAACATATGCACGTTAGGGGTTTCACTTATATAATACAACCAATTCTTAATATGTATGTAAGGAAATGCATTCAAAAGAGAAACAGTAGAGAAACGATGCTCTAGATCAAGGGGTTTCAATCTTTTAGATGTTACGAACCCCCAAATATGATTTTTACTTATTTAATCTATTTAAATTAAATGTACTTTAACTATATTAAATAACTCATATTTTATGCCATTTTAATCACACCTACGTATACAATTATAGTGTTTGCTGGCAAAAATAATGATTTGATAGCAGTTGTTGTCGTCACAAAAGGATATGTTTATGTTTTAATATGTTTTAAATACAGGAATATGTCGGTTAAAATTCTCATTAGCTTTTTTTTGTAACGTTAATCAAGGATTTACGGCATGTGTCACTACAGAAATAATTCCTTTCAAAAAATAGTGTAAACAGAGTGACAATCGGCCATGGATTAATTTATATTATAAAATAGCAATTAAGAACATTAATAACCGACATTCAAAAGTGCCAGATGAAAATGGAACGTTATAACCACCAAATACAGTAAGTTAGCAGCTAATGAGCTAGTGTGCTACTTGGTTTAGCCTGTCAACCAGCTAAACCCCAAATGGCAGGAAAACGATAAAGCACGTGCATGAAACAGCTGAATATATTGCAGTACTACAGAAACTCTGTAATATATTTGCTAAACGGGCAGTATGTGTGAGTGAATGAACTCACTGTTGAGTTTGATGGCGTCCATCAGCTCGCTCTTCACTTTAGCATCCTGTTTGTGAGTCAGTAAAAACTTCAGCTGAGCTATTCTCAGATTGGGGTTTTTAGGTAAACCCTCTTCCTCCAGGTTTTCCAACGGCATATTTGCAGAGTTAAAAAATGACTACAGAACAACGGGAGAATATGTTACGGCTGAGAGTGATAACGATGAACCAGTAGTGGCAACGATGACTAGGGGGAAATCTAAACAAAAAAAAAATCGGTAAATTCACTTCCTCCTGCTGGAGACAACGACGCAGGGTAAATCAGTCAATCGAAGTCAAACACCGTAACAAGAAAAAAACCACTGCCCCCGTATGGTTGTATGGTATATTGCATCTACAATCATAAAAAAACTTCTTTTTTTTTATCAAATGTATTTATTTTTTACACTGTTTTTCTTTCTTTTAACTTTTCCACATACTCCCTTGCGGCCCCCTTGGGGTCATTGGGCCCCAGTTTGAAAAACCCAGATTTTTAGACTCTCAAGTTCACAGCCTTTCAATGTTCAATATTCTGAAGACCCTACACAATAATACATTGCATACATTTAAAATAAAGCTATTTTATCCCTGGACAAATCCTTCATTTTTATATAGCTAGAGGTATTTTTAGAAGACAAAATGTGACGAGTCATTCCAGTGTCAAAAATTAATCAAAATCCTCCCCAAACTGCCTAACGGAGATGACTCTGTATTTATTGAAGAGAAGCAGTCGGGATTCATGGACACAAAACAAGAATATAAGCATGAAGAGCATATTGAAGGAACTGGTAGGAACATTTTACTAGCTATATGTAGCCTAATAATTATATTACCAGACCTTTGAACTATAGATGAAATCTAGTGAAATGAAATCTGAACTAGCCTATTATAGGATGATAAAGAAATTATAATGGTGAAGATAAGTATATTGCTGGATCATATGTCTCTGTGAACTATTTTCTCTATTTCTTTCAGCTAAGTGCAGAGTTAAACTCTTAACCAAAGTTTACTCATTTACCCAGAATGTGTGCTGGTTGTGAAGTATCGACATGTTGAATATGAATGTAGTCAGTGAACACTGTGGCTATAATTTCAGGTTGGTGGGAAAGCGCTTGTCTTTATCACTGTGCTTGGTTTGGGTGGATCATTTCAGAATGGATTTCATCTCACAGCGATCAGCTCTCCGTCTCCAGTGCGCACTTGTATTTCTATTTATTTCGTCACTGTTATTACATTAAGAGTGCAGGTTACATTTTATTTTAAAGTGTCCTTGTTAGTGCCACTCTTAGTGAATATGTGGAGTTCACCCTCGGGTTCTTGACTCAATTTTAAAGAACTCTTTATGACATCTCTTAAAAATTACGGTTCAAAAGTGGGTTTTTGCAGTGATGCCATAGAAGAACAATTTTGAGTTCCCCAACTTTCAGTGAATTTTTTTTTCTAATTGTGAAGATAATTTAAATAATCTATGAAAATGGAATGGAACCTTTAATCCTTTCACGCGTACGATCACACCGGTGTGATCAGTCTTGGCTGGTCCCACGAGCGTACGCTTCCAATGAGCGTGCTTCGCGCCCGCGCGCGTCAGAGCCCGCCAAGATGGCCGTGGCCAAGGGCTATATATTGGGCGCCCCGTCGTCTGAGTTCTTTAGGTTCAATCGACTGAAGCGAACTGACCAAGCGCAAGCACGGCAGCTTACGCAATACTCGTTCCCTCCTCTCAGGGAACCGAGGTTACGTTAGTAACCGAGTCGTTCCCTTTCGAGAGGTCTCTCCTATTGCGTAAGTAGCTTACGCTATGGGAACACCATGTAAAACGCCGTGCGCGCTGACTTCGCTCTATTGAGCCAGAGGCAGATGCCTGAGCCTTTAAGCAAAGTAATTATCCAATGAGCCGGCCGAAGGCGGGCTTTATAAGGGACAATGTAGAACGGCCCAATGGGCGTCCAGTGGAAAAACACACAAGCACATTTTTATGTACTGATATGCATAAAAAACCCTCTAAGTCAGTCAGAGACGGACCCTATAAAGGAGGAGATAATGCTCAGCATATACACACTCGCACAAATATCTTGAATGGGTATCCCACTCGACCACGCCCACGAGGAGGCCATGCCTCTCGTAGAGTGAGCTCTGATGCCCAAGGGGCACTGAAGGCCCTTGGCTTCATAAGCCAGCGCTATAGCATCAACTATCCAGCGCGAAATTCTCTGCTTTGAAACAGCGAGACCTTTGGTGCGGCCGCCAAAGCATACGAAAAATGGCTCTGTCTGTCTGAACAGGGCAGAACGTTCCAAATATACTCTGAGCGCCCTGACTGGGCAGAGTAAATTAGCGTCGCTTTCGTCTGCTGGAGACGATAGCACGGCCAGAGATATCACCTGTGCTCTGAAGGGTGTACAGAGCACCTTAGGAATATACCCGTGTTTTGGCCTAAGGACAACTCTGCTGTCGTTAGGTCCAAATTCCAGGCAGGCAGCGCTTGATGACAGCGCGTGCAGGTCGCCCACTCTTTTGACTGAGGCGAGAGCCAGCAAGAGAGCAGTTTTGAGCGAGAGCTGTTTAAGGTGGACAGTTCGGAGAGGTTCGAACGGGGAGTGCGTCCAGGACCGTGGCCAGGTCCCAGATCGGCACTGAAGGGGGGCGTGGGGGATTTATCCTTCTGGCGCCTCTCAGGAAACGAACAACTAGGTAGTTTTTTCCTAGTGTGCGTCCTTCTACACTACAGGATCGTGTGACGCCGCTATGGCAGCCACATATACTTTGAGCGTGGAGGGGGTGCGGCCTGCCTCCAACAGCTCTTGTAAGAAAACGAGCACGCTCGGTACCTCGCATGTCTCAGGATTCAGGTTCCTGGATTTACACCAGTCACTGAACACCTTCCATTTCTGGGCATATAAGCGCCTCGTAGAGGGCGCTCGCGCCTCAGTGATGGTTCCCAAACACTTCACTGGGGAGGTTCCCGGGAACCCGTTGAGGGGCCATGCATGGAGGGCCCACAGATCGGGGCGGGGATGGAGGATCATCCCGTTGGCCTGCCTGAGGAGGTCTAGCTTCAGCGGAATCAGCTATGGGGCAGATTGCATCATCTGCATCAGTTCTGGAAACCACGTCTGGTTCTTCCAGAGTGGGGCTACCAGGAGCACAGCACATTTCTCCTCCTTGATCCGACTGATGACCTGAGGTAGCATCGCGATCGGGGGGAAGGCATACAATGGGCGGCTCGGCCAGATTTGGGCGAGCGCGTCTGTGCTCTTTGAAAAGAAGAGAGGGCAGTGCGCATTTTCCTTGGAGGCAAAGAGGTCGACCTCTGCTCTGCCAAAGGTTTGCCATAACCACTGAATCATCAGGGGGTGGAGAGACCATTCTCCTGGGAGAACTTTGTCTCTGGACAGCATGTCCGCTCCCTGGTTCAGGACACCTGGCACATGCGCTGCTCTCAGCGAGCGCAGGTTGCACTGGGACCATAGGATGAGTTCCCTGGCCATCGAGTGCAGGGAGCTCGACCTGAGTCCACCCTGGCGATTTATATATGAGACTACCGTCATGTTGTCCGTTCGGACCAGGACGTGCTCGTCTTTCAGGTACGGAAGCAGGGCTCTGAGAGCCAAAGCGACCGCTTTCAATTCCAGACAGTTTATATGTAGGCGCTTCTCCGGGTTTGACCACAAGCCGGAGACAGGCCTGCCCTCGTAAAGGGCCCCCCAACCTATTTTGGAGGCATCTGTCGTGATCATTTTTCTCCTTGTGTTCACGCCCAAACTCACACCGGACTGATACCAGTCGACAGCTTTCCAGGGCGTCAGGGCTTTTATGCAGCCGTGATTTGCTCTGATTAAAAAGTGGCCCGAGCGCCACGCGTGAGTGGGGACACGGCTTTTGAGCCAGCGTTGGAGAGGACGCATGTGCAACAATCCTAGCTGGAGTACAGCTGATGCCGAGGCCATGAGACCGAGCATCCTTTGAAAACGCTTGACGGGGGCGCGCGCACCCGCTCTGAACGATGTTTCAAGGCGCTGAATAGTGAGCGTGCGCTCTGATGAGAGGCGCGCCGTCATCTGCACTGAGTCTAGCACTATTCCCAGAAAAGAAATATTCTGGCTGGGGGATAGCATGCTCTTTGCAAAATTGATTCTTAGACCCAGGCATTCTAGATGGCTGATAATCCAAGACCTGTGTGTCATTAACTGACTCTCTGATTGTGCTAGGACTAGCCAATCGTCGAGATAATTCAGTATTCGCACTCCCCGCTGTCTCAGAGGGGAAAGTGCTGCATCCATACATTTCGTGAATGTACCAGTGATAGGCCGAATGGTAGTACTGTGTACTGGTATGACTGTCCCTCGAAAGCGAATCTCAGAAATGGCCTGTGATGAGGCGCTATCGGAATGTGAAAGTAAGCGTCTTTCAGATCCACTGATAGAAACCAATAACCCGGGCGAACTTGCGCGAGGATATGTTTGGTTGTTAACATTTTGAAAGAGCGAATCATTAAAGCTTTGTTGAGATGTCTGAGATCTAGAATGGGGCGGAGACCACCATCCTTCTTCGGGACGAGAAAATAGCGGCTGTAAAAACCTGCCTCGCTCATAGAGGGAGGAACTGTTCCTATAGCGCCCTTCTCTATCAGTTTGAGCACCTCGGTGCATAGAACATGTGAAACATCTTTTCTCACTTTCGTCTCGACCACCGCTGAGAAGCGGGGTGGTCTGCGAGCGAATTGAAGCGAGTAACCGTGTTTTATTATGTTCAAAACCCATTTCGGCATGTCGGGATATTTTCCCAAGCTTTCGCTCGCACAGATATGGGCTGAATGCTGGCTGGGGGCGTGTCGCAGTGACGTATGGCTCCCGCCGGCGAATCGCCCTGTGCTAATACTGAGCTTACAGCTCTCAGAGGCGCGGGCGCGCGCTGAGCAGCTTTGTTGAGTGCCGAGTGCAGGGGTGCGTGTGAGATTACAGGCACGCTCGCCACATCCGTAATGCTCACAGCGTGAGTTGGAGAAATGTTCAAGACTGTATGGACAGTGCTTATGGGTGGGGGTGCATAGACTGTGGTAGGCACGTGCGCCACTTTCATAAAACTTCCCGCTCGTGGCGGGAGGTTTTTGGCCATGTAAACAGTGTTTGTGAGTAGGGGTGCGTGCATGACAGCGGGCACCCGCGCTACCCTGATAGAATTTCCCGCTTTTACTGGGGAAGTGTTTATAACTGTGGGAACAGTGCTTATGTGTAGTGGTGCATACATGACAGTGGGCACACGATCTACATTTATGGGGCGTCCAGCCTGAGCTGGGGAAGCATTTGGCACTGCTTTGACAGTTTTGATATGTGGGAATGCGCACTTTTGTGTGGACACGTGACCCCTTAATGACACAGGCAGAAAATGGCTCTTTATGTGATTTCTGTGTGTCGCCGTTAAAACGGCGTTTGCTTGCAGGTGAGCGAGCTGTGCGGCTGGCCCATTGGCTGCTGTACAGACATTTCCAGCAACCTGTAAGGGGACTGGGTAATGCTTTAAACGTTTTGGAGAGAGTGGTCCGGCTTTTGCGAGACACGCGCTCTCTCTTTTTCTCCCTATAGCTAGGAAGACTTACGAGGCTCCGGGTTCAGCACAATCTTGGGCCGAGGTCCCCGTCGCTCGGGCGGTTGCTTCCTGTTGGCGGAGCGCGAGCGGCGTCGGAAGTCCGTTTCAGGTCTGGGCTGAGAGACGGGAGGTGCCGTCTTGACTCGCTGCTGCTGAGGCGGCTTTTGGCGGCTCTGCGATGAGCTGGAGCGCTTGGGCAGGAAGTGACTGCGAATCCTTCTGGGCTTCGGTGAAGCGCTCAGCGAACTCTATCACCGCTGGTCCGAACAGACCGCTTTGGGAGATAGGCGCGTCGAGGAACGACGCCTTATCTGCATCCTTCATCTCTGTTAGCGTCAGCCACAGATGGCGCTCAAGGACAGTCAGGTTAGCCATGGCACGGCCGATGGATTGGGCGGTGGCGGGGCTATGTCGGTGGCGCTGCGCAGGTCCTTGAACGCCTCAGGATCAGGTCCAGACTCGTCCATGGTGCGGAGAAGTTTGGCTTGAAAAACTTGGAGGACAGCCATGGAGTGAAGCGCTGACGGAGCTTGGCCGGCGGCAGCGTATGCGCGACCGGCGAGAGCTGAGGTAGATCGGCAGGGCTTCGAGGGATGAGAAGCTTTGGCTTTCCATCCAGCGTGGAGGGTGGGCACAGGTGGTTGGCCACAGCCTCCTCGAGGGGCGGGGTTCCCTCGTAGCCTCTTTCTTTCGCGCCGTCCACAGAGGAGAGCGACGAAGAGAAAGAAGGCTTCAGGCGAGCGGAGTGAGGGGCTTTCCACGACTTCGTGAGTTCGTCGTGAACTTCCGGGAAGAAAGGGGAGGGCCTTTGCCGAGGGGCCTGCCGGCGCCCCTGCAGGAACCACTCGTCCAATCGGCTGCGGGCGGGTTCTTCCGGGGAAGACCAATCGAGCCCGAGGTCTTCCACGGCCTTGGACAGGATGCGGACGATCTCCGAGTCCATGCTGGAGCCCACACTCGTGCCCGCTAACGTCGATGGCGCGGGGTCGAAGGACGAGCCCGGCCAGTCGTCGGATGCAGCATCAAAGGAAAGGCTTTCATCCTTTTCGTCGTCATCCCCTGACGCGCCAAACGAGACGAGACCCATCGCTCTGCTGGAGGGGTGCTGGTCCGCCTGCGTGAACTGAACTGGCGGCCGGGAGTCCTCGGGTGGTGGTGAAGCACGCGAGGATTGGCCCGGCGTGACGTCACTACAATCCGCGCGCTCTGGCAGCCTCTGTGAGCGGCGCTTCTTCTTGCACGGCTCAACTAGAGGGGACGGCAGCACGGTGGTGGTAGGCTCTTTCGCGGCGAAAGCGGCGAAGCGAGCGCGCAGCTCGGTGAGGCCCAGGGAGTCACACTCGGGGCATCCGCCTCGAGTAAGGGCAGCCTTTGCGTGGTCCGGACCCAGGCAGCGAGTGCAGATAATGTGACGATCCCCGTCCGGAAGAAGGCCTCGACACGAGGCGCAGGAAGGCATTTGAAACAACGCCTTAATTTGCTCTTTTAGAAAAAGTGTCGCGTTGGAGCGAACACTTGAATAGCTTGTAAAGGATATGAGGTGATGCGCGCCGGATGGCTTAGCAGAAGGCGTTCGAAGGCGGCTGAAGGCGCCGGCGTCCTCGTAGCAGTCCTGCTGTGTGCTTGTCGACGGCGGCGGCGAAAAGACTCAAAAAATCCGGAGGATCCAGCGAAGAGAATGGTCTTTGCTGAAGGAGATTAAATCTAAAGAACTCAGACAACGGGGCGCCCAATATATAGCCCTTGGCCACGCCCATCTTGGCGGGCTCTGACGCGCACGGGCGCGAAGCTCATTGGAAGCGTGTTCAGAGTCGCCCCGTCATAGGTTCGTGCAGTTGCCGCAGCACAGCCAATGACCGAGCTGCCTCGCTCACTGCTGTATGCTGTGCAGCTGCAATGCGTTTTACATAAAGACTTCAATATTTCTCGAGAAAAGGAGTTTTCCCATAGCGTAAGCTACTTACGCAATAGGAGAGACCTCTCGAAAGGGAACGGTCGCCTTGAAAAACTCAAGCTGGGGGGGTCAGTTGGAATATTTTAAACTTACGTGTGAAAGGGATAGTTCACCCAAAAATGAAAATCTTGTCATCATTTACTCACCCTCATGTTGTTCCAAACCTGTATGAGTTTCTTTCTTCTGGAGAACACAAAAGAAGATATTTTGAAGAATGTTGGTAACTGTTCAACAGAAGAAAGAAACTCATATAGGTTCAAAAGGTTCTTTATAGTGGAAACGGGTTCTTTATAGAGTATTTAAATGTTCTTTACAATTAGAAAAACATGGTTCGTTTATGAGCTTTTCACTGAAAGGTTCTTTGGGGAACCCAAAATGGTTCTTTTATGGCATCACTGTGAAAACCCCTTTTTGGAACCTTATTTTTTAAGGATGTTAAAGGTTCTTCATGGAACCATTGATGCCAATAAAGAACCTTTATTTTTTAAAAGTGTAAGGATAAATGTCTTTAATGATTGCATACTTTCAGGTTATTTATTTTTTTCCTAGTGATAATATATGCTTACAAACTGCTTAATTCATAAAATGTACTCAAAATAAAAATAAAATAAAAAATGAATAAATGAACACCCATAAAATGATGGGAACCCCTAAGCGCCCGACAGAACCCTTTAAGTTTCTTTATAAAAAGTGATCAGTTGACTGAACTTAAAAAAAGTGAGGGAATTGTAATTGAAAAAAAATTAAGTTATGTGGAATTTTTCAATTATGCATTAAGTTTATTAGGCTACTTAATAATTTTAAGGCAACGGGTTTCCTTTTTTTAAGTCAAATCAACTGATCAGATTTTACACTTTACTTTTAAGATTTAATTACACATGTAATTAGGGTTCATTAACAACATTACTTACTATATGGTGAGGGATAGGGTTTGGTTTAGTTGCTTGTAATTATGCATAATTTACCATTACTATAGCAAGTAGATGTAACATGTAACAAAGACACTTTAAAATAGTGTTACCAGAAAGCAACATTTTAAGTATCAATTATTTTTCTATTGCCAATTCAGTACCATGTGTATCATCTAGGTCAATCAATTCACGATTTGTGTCGAATCTGTTTGCCCACAGTACATTCAGAGCTTTATTAACAGCAGCTGGATGCATCACTATGGAGATGTCCCAGGAGAGAAGACCATCACCTTTATCTGGTCTGCTGTGGTGGCTCTATACGCTTTTGGAGGTCTCATTGGCTCAATATCTGTCCGATACTTAACCAGTCGTCTGGGAAGGTTAATGTCACCCATCCTCATCTCCTTTCTCCATTCTGCCTTTTAACTTGTGATAAGTAGCATTGTCATATCACTCTGGCATAATATTTTCAGGGTAAAAAAAAAGGATGCTCATTTACTGTTCACATTCTTCTTTCAGAAAAGGAACCATGCTGTTGAACAGTGCCATCGCAGTTGTGGCCACAGTCATCATGTACATTAGCAAACCTGCATACTCATTTGAGTTGATCCTTGTAGCACGCTTCCTAATTGGATTCGGAGCAGGTATGTCAGACTGTATTATAAATAATACCTAAGATGTAGCTTAATAATAAGTGATGTGATTGTGATTTGCTTTCGCTCTTTGTTGGAAGGATTAGGTTTGAATGTCCATGTCATCTACCTTGGTGAGAGTTCACCAAAGAAAATCAGAGGCATGGTGACACTCACAGTCGCTACCTTTTTGTCCCTTGGTAATCTGGCAGGGCAATTTGCTGGCCTCCGGTAATAATTAAGTATTAAAGCAAGAGATAGATATTTTCTTCCGTATTGTAACTTGAGTGAAACGGATTAAAGTCGGCATGAAATGAAAATCGCGATAGTATTTTCATCCCTATTTGTGACGGCTTCTTGAACTAGAACAAAATAGCGGGACTTGATTTTTGTCCATCAGGAGTTGATTGGATTGTTGGATCATTGCTTTGCTATTGGTCGATCGCATGTGAGTGACTGGTTGCCCCGCCCTAGCCCCAGTAAACACGTCATCAGAGAAGAATAGAGATCTTGCTGCAAGAGGTAGCGGAAGATATTTTGATTATAGATTATGAGGATGAATTAAAAAAAATGACGGTGTGCATGGATAAATCAGTTATGTTAGATTTCGTGGTGACTAATGAAAAAAAAAAAAAGTAGGACGAGGCTTGGTTCAATCCATTGGTTGTTGATTGGACGGAGGCAGATCTTAATGCGAGCTTGAAGTCGATTGTAAGAAAGAGGCGGGGTTTAAGCAGACGAAGTTTCATTTCACCGAAAGATTGAGTTATGACTTTTTGATTAAGAATAACAAACATGCTAAATTGTTCACAACGTTAGCATTAAAAAAAATAGATTTTCGTTTCATGCCTACTTTAATGTTTGATTTCATTTACGTGGCTTCTGGAAATTTAATCTTTTCATTATCAATATTTTTTTGAATTGCTCTCTCATTTCATTCACAGGGAAATTCTTGGCCGTGAAGAGTGGTGGAACACCCTGTTGTGCATCCCGGCGTTTTTTTGCGTGGTTCAGTTGGCAGTCTTGCCATTCTTCCCTGATGCTCCACGATATATTCTGATAGAGAAGGGCAACACTGAACAGTGCAAAAAGGGTGCATTACATTTAACCAAATAAATGCAATTTTATGTAACTGACGTACCTCTGCATGTCATTGCAACAACCTTTTGTGTTAAATGACGGATATGTGTTTCCATCGGCAGCACTGCAGTGTCTATGGGGACCAGGAGATTATAAGTTGGAGATAGAGGAGATGGAAGAAGAGCAGGTAGTCATTGGAGAGGAGCACAATAAGAGTCTGCTGGATCTTCTCAGAGACAAACACTTGCGCTGGCAGATCTTTTCCCTGCTGGTCATAAACGGATGCATCCAGTTCAGCGGCGTACCTGCTGTAAATCATTTAGCTTTTATCGTCAATTAATCGTATTGTGCTTCTATATAGAAATGTGTTCTGATTCAAAAGTGACCTAGTTTTCCTATGTCATTGTGTTGTCAAAAAGTATCCAAGACATCCTTTAATGGTTACAGAAAAATGGTTACAGGTACCTTGTTAAAATGTGATCTTTTACCCTTCTCGCTCATAGATCACCGTCTTCTCTTTTGATATCTTTTTGGAAGCGGGAATTCCAGTGGACAAGATCCGTTATGTCACTCTGGGCATAGGAGCATCAGAAGTTCTTGTCTCCATAACCTCTGTAAGTTCAATAGAAGCACATGGAAGTGTGTGACTTCAAATGGGATTAGGATATTTTGCATGGTGGAACATCATAAATCATTTTTGTGGCCTTTTTAACCCTTTAAGTGCCTCCATTTCCAAATGTGTTTTGAGTGATATGAACCATTATTTCCACAATTTTCAAACAATTTATGAAGTAAACATCCTATTCAGAAGTAATATGAGAAGTTTGGCAGATTTTGATATGAATTCAACCTCTAAGAAACACAAAAAGAACAAGTATGTGCGTTATAGCTTCCTGCCACATCACAAATGGTGAATCTATCATTTTTTTCTTTATATTTAAAAAAATGTCAGACCTTTTTTTCTAAAATAATTGAATGGATGCTATCTTTTGAACTCTTGGCATGAAAACAAACTGAGGTTTCTACCCTTCTTTCATGATTTTTCATGTTCATCACTATTTCAAAATAAAGGTCTAAACACGCCTTAGGAGTATGAAAATATTCTTGTTGCAAATTGATAAATTATGGCTCCTCTGTAATTCATTTTGAAAATCAATCACCAAATATGGAAACTAGAGATTGTAAGCTTTCAAATGATATATAGTTTGTCAAGATTAGTTTAGGTTTAGTATAGGATATTACTGTTTTAAAAATGTAATGGATTTGGGCCCACTTAATAGTATTTCTGCTTGTTTTCATATGTGTAGGGCCTGTTCATTGAGAGTGTGGGGAGGAGAGCCTTGATGTGGACAGGGTTTGGGGGAATGTCAGCCATTATGGCATTAATCACAGTCACTCTTTACCTAAAGGTGAGTTTCAACAGCCCACAGCAAGCACCGAACAGACCTTTATCATCTCATCTCTATTTCATCTGCAGGACTACAGCTTTGTGATTCCATACATCACAGTCGTCCTCATTTTCCTCTTCATTATTTTCTATGGAGGAGGCCCAGGTAAAGCAATTTGCATATTTATATGACAATTGGCATTTCAAAAGTGCTGTTAAAACAATTAAATATAAGAGGCAGTTCACATAGAGAATTTTTGGCATTTCACTGCACTACATTTTCATTGCTTTTTATGTAAACATGGGCTAGACGAAAGTTTGTTTTTTGAAAATCGTGGCACCCAAGTTAAAAGAAGTTCAGCTTTTAATAAATGCATCTCTAGACCTTGCGTTTTTGTTTTAATTCCACTATCTGCGTCTGGTGTTTTAAAATGCATTCTGTGGGACCCATTTCACAGACTGATCCAGAGTTATCAACATTGAAAATCGAGTTTTTCATGTTTTCTGCTATTGTATTATATGACCTTGTCAGCATATGACAAACAACTCCTGCCAGGGTGTTTCTAATTCAATGGCTGAGGGAGTGGTGGCAATTTTGACATATTTCTCTTTTGACCTTTATATTTTTTCCTTTTGGAAAGTCATGGAAACTCCACCACAGATTTTTTTTTTCTTTTGCTATTGGAGTAAATATGATGACTTCTGCTTCTGAGAACCTCCGGAAATATTAAAAGGGTCCAGTCAGTGTTAACGAGTGAATCACTGAATCATTCCCCTACTGATTCATTTAAAAACATTGGTTCAAGTTTGTTCACAGGGATTCACCCGTGTAATTACTTAGATGACTTTATTGACTTTTGAAATGTCAATGCAATTTTCACTATATTTACATTATTGATCTGTTGCAAGCATATCACACTCTTAATCGTGTTGTTGTATTGAAAACAGCACTCTTTGTGTGATATTGTTTAAGATAAGAACATATTGGTTATAATAAACTGACTAGTCAGTGCAAACAACTCAAACCAGTTTGCTCTGAACAGCTGGAACAGCCATATCGCTCACCAATGAGATCTTCATCCAGTCATACCGCCCAGCTGCATTTATGTTTAACGGCGTCCTGCGCTGGCTGGGATTCGCCATGCTTGGATTCATCTTCCCATTCCTTATTGTAAGTCCATCAACTTAGCAATACCACAAAAATATGCATCTTTATTATTAGCAATGTTTGTGGATTCAGCCACTTTATTGATGTTAAAATATATAGTAAAGTGCGTGTGCCCCACAAATGCAGCATTATTAAATGTCATTGCTATTACTGTAGATGTTTCATTAATGGTTCATGTAAGAAGTTTTTGCCATCATAATTAAAGCCATTTATTATGGCTTTATTGTGATTCTCTCAAAGTCTGGCTCCTCTTTATTTTATACAGTCATAAAAGACAAACTAAAATACAGAATGATTCTTTTATGTGTGACCCATTATATGTCTTCTTCCTGAACAATGTGTAATACCATGCTTTTATCACACCTGTCCGCTGCTCCTGTGAAAACCACTCTGCTGGCTGTTGCTGCAGACTCACTTTAACAAAAGGCCACATTTCTCATCCATGTTTCTGCAGGCTGCTCTGAAGTCTCTGAGCTTTGTTCTCTTCTCCTGCGTTTGTCTGATAGCTGCTCTCTACGTCTTCTTCATCCTTCCTGAAACAAAAGGCAAAACTCCACTTGAAATTTCCCAAGAGTTTAAGAACATCAGAGTGTGTGGATCCTCCAAAGAAGATGCCATGTGCTTAGAGACTAAGCTTTAAAGTTGCCATATTGATGTATGGATGGATGTGGACTGGCATTACCATAATATCATATTTATTTATCAACATTATATGTATAAAGACAGACTGCTTAGCTAATATTATAAGAAAGTGATGCTGTACAGTCAGCTGGATGGATGGTCTTGGGTTTATTTTATATATTAGACACGCGATAATGGCCGGATGACTGTATGTTATCCAACTTAATGCATGGCTACTTAACAATAAATAAATAAATGCACTTGATTCTAGACTAGTTTTTTAATGAATGCAAATATTTGAAATACAAAACTTGTTCTGTTTATTTGATCTGCGTGTTTTCTTGCCACTCAAAACATTGTGAAACTTCAGGACCTTTTAATTCTAGTTTCTTTTCTTTCTTTCTCAATGACTGAAAAATGTCTAACTACATAACGTAATGTAACCCATGTTTATTTCTTAAACGACATACTAGTTTAAACCTGCCAATCAAACATTATAACGTCAATACAATCTCTGAATAGTTAAGTGAGGTTAACCCCATTGTATCGGCCCACCCAGGTAATTTCGCAGGGGCTCTGGGTTTGTAGAACCCCGTGAAGGTTTAGCACAGGGTCTTCCTCTCTTATCAGTCCCGGACAGACTGGCCCCGTATTCCCAGCCTCATTAGCAGTTTAATAGGTAGGGCCTACTGCGTGAACTTCATAGACCAGTAATGATTGACATAACTAGAAGCTTTATCACCGCCTCAGCTGTTTCACAGGATTAACTGGAGGAATAATTGAACTGACTATCAATGATTATGGACATCCCAAAACATCATATCGGAAACAAATTTTTTATTTACATGTCCCCTAATGGGAATGACCCATTTCTAGTAAGAAACTAGTGAGGAGATTCAAATAGGCACAGGTTTCGACACAGAATCTCACAGACCCAAAGTCAATCATTTTGAAACTAGTTACTAAACTACATATACCTATAGACCTGATATGTAGTTTACATAATACAGCATCACATATATTACTTTATCATTAACAGAAATCAATCCCTGCGTCATAAGTTAAATAACCACCCATCTATACATAATTTCATTTCGATTTAAATTATGGGACATTATGCAATATTTTCAACTGCCAAAGGGTGGCGCTGTATATTCACTGCAGGGTTACAGTAAAGCACACTGCAGTGCGATCAGCTTTTAATAAGAACCAAAGAGTGATGCGTTATTAAATTCCTTCAACATGATACACGAGAATGTTACAGCAGAAGCACTTTTCTTTATTACCACCTATGATTTGACCTCTTTGTAAACCTCTTTTATGACAATGTTAATAATGACGTCAGGCGTCAGCAATGTTTCCTTTCAAATTTTCTCATTTGAGTGGAACTGATAGTTGAACATTCTCATTCTTTGTAAACCTATTTGATCTATACTGTGACTTTGTAAAACTATTCCTAAAGTTTTACACAACAATTTACAAAAATTTAGCCTGCCATTTTGAAGGACTCACTTTTGTAAAATGCTTTGCTATTAATGCAGTTTTTTTTCCTCACATTCTCTGGAGAGAACATGGTCAAATATAGGCCACTGCACAGATCTAAGCTTTGTGCTGTACTGAGATATGATATGCTTATGGTTTATTTTTGCTAATACCGTAAGTAGAATAGGTTATTCACACTATACTATTCAAAAGCTTGAGGTCAGAGTCATGCTCACCAAGGCTGCATTTATGTGGTCAAAAATGCAGTGAGAACACTATTGTGAAATATTATTACAATTTAAAACAACTGTATTCTATTTTAACATATTTTCAAATTTAGCATATTCCTGTGATGGCAAAGCAGTTTTCAGCATCATTACCCATTTCTTCTTATTATCAAGGCTGAAAACAGTTGTGCTGGAAACTGATTTTTTTTTTTTTTTTTTTTCAAAATTCTTTGATGAAAGCATTTAGTTTTCAGTTCTTTAAATTTAAAAAAATTATATATAAATTTATATAAAAATTATATATATATATATATATATATATAAACACTTACTAACCCTAATCTTTTGAACGGTAGCAACATTTGTTTTTTTCTTTTTTTTTATGTTCTCCATTAAGACAACCTAACACGGCTTAAATGCTAACAATGCAACCAGTTAGTAGTCAGTCACGGCTCAATCACATAATGTCATGATCTCATGAAAAGCTCATTATTGTAACTACAATGTGACACCAGTCCTCTCTCTGGTGTGCATATGGATTTCGTTCATTCTGAGTGTCCTTGCCTTGTTAAGTGGTGGACAATTCTGAGTGTGTAAAATGAATTAAGGGCTGAACACACTAATAATAGCTGACCGGCATACTGACAGCACTCGGCAGCAACGAGCAATTTGTTCTCCAGTCATATCGCTGCCACTCCGCAAATGACATAATGCTATGGAATCTGTGAAGAGACGGTCAGACAATGTTAATATAATTAGCTTCATTAACATTCCTGCAGCATTTAATTAATGTTCAGTTGCCATCCCATCAAGTACATAACTGAAATCGATCATTAATCTTGTTAATGAGTGTGCAGAGAGATGCTTCACAAGGTCAATGTGCAAAGCAAATATCCATCTCACAGTCAACGTTTACCATATCCTAATGTTACTTTCATATTTTAGAACATTCACACTGTAAAAACAAAACAAAAACTTAAGTTCAGTTGTTGCCTTAATTTTTTTTAAGTATAATCAAATTGGCTGTACAAGTCAACTAATCTCTTAAAATCTTGTGCACTGTAAAAAATTATTTTAATAATTGAATACTATTTCAGGTTTTCTATGTGAAAATTTCATGTTTAATTCTATGTTACTTGCATTTCTCTGTAATCGTTTGTGAAATTTACTACCAAGTTCCACTGTTTTTCTTGTATAACTTAAAAAAAATTGAGATGAAATTGGTTAAATAATTTTAATGCGATAAAGCAATAGAAAAACATATGTTGCATGACTTTTTGATCATATAATTATTTTTTTTTTACATCTGAATTATAATACAAGCAGTAAAAATTAAATATACAAATATCCTACATTACGGACTAAATGTTACTGTAAATGTAATGTAAAAAAAAAACACACAAAAAAACAACAGCAAGAACATTCACATTCAGAAAACCTTAAAAGTATCATTTAGAATGACGAAAATTTTTAAATTATATGCAATCATCAGCTGATTTATTTGGACTGATTCATTTGGATCGGCAACATGCCACAGTAAATGAGCGTAAGTGCACAGATGGGTCTGCTCAGTAAGGTCATTAATGTCTGTAAAATGACTAAGGCTGCAGCTGGAAATCATGGGGCCTTTGGCACTATGGGATTATCTCCTATGTGCGAGTAAGAAATGAATATCTCTATGAATGTTAAACAGTCCTGAGACCTCCTGATCCGAGGATTATGAGCTCTGAATAGCTCCATTTAGCTGTGGTGGCATCACAATGTAGACACACAGCATTCATTGTAATGGATTTGTCATTGTGGACAAATACCACAGGTTTCTGTATGGGTATTTCTGAATGGAAACAAATAGCGTAGAATGGATTTGAATTTAGTTCATAAAATAGTGCAGGCAGGGTAAATGCCAATGACTTTTGAAAATTGACCGGCCATAAATATTTTTACCATCCATGAAACAGATGAATCCTTATTAAAGGTACAATATGTAGGTTTCTTGCAGTAAAATATCCAAAAACCACTAGGCCAATGTTATATATTTTGTTTAGTTCATTACTTAAAATATCCCCAATGTTTCCAACTATTTGTAAATCGTGAGGGAATTGCGATTTTAACCAAGGAAACGGGACGTGTGAGCAGGCGTGAGGAGTCGCCAGTCAATGGCGTCATATCCGCGTTACCCTCGGTTTCCGCTCATACTGCCATAGTAACCATGGCGACAGACATGGACAACTGGGTTATGCCTAGCTGTACGCTCACGCTGTTGTTGTTTTGTTCAAACATTTTGGACCATGGCAAGCAGACTTTGAGACAAAAAGAGGACTAGAACGAAGATCAACATCTTTCGAGATGCCGAGAGCTCCACGTCCGCGACTAACTTCGACTTGACAGAGTGTTGCATGTAAGTTACTATATTAGACAGGTGAGTAAATGTACATAAAACTAATCAATGTTATATAGTTCAATATGATGAAATGTTAGAATATGTTCTGTATGTTATTCTAATGTTGATCTAGCTTACTGCTAGTCTCATACAGCCAACAAACAACCTAACTAACAACATTCAACACACTCAAGTGATAGTGTAACTGTTAGAGCAAGTGAAACAGCGCTGCGTTACCTCAAGTTTAATTCGTCTAATAAACTGACCTGTGAGTAACTTATTAATTCAGCACTTGCGTGTAGTTCGGTAGAATGAAATATCCTTATTCCTTTATATCCGCGGGACTCACGTTGCGTCGCGCCCTGCTTCACACCACAGTCATGTTGAAAACATCACTGTATTCACTCATACATAAAAGATCCATCAGCTTGACGACAAGATCCATAATTCCGCTTGATGCTTTGCGTCATCGATATACGCCTTTGTTATTGTAAGAGATTAGCGACCCCTGGTGGCCAAACATTACATACTGTACGTTTAAAGCTACAAAAAAATTTCAGCCAAAAGCAATGAGTGATTGTTCTTTGTCTTTTGTTGCTTGATTAACATTAAAAACACAGACAGCAGCAGGAATAAGGCTGCTGTCACTTTAAGAGCTAATGCACGGATCAAATATACTGTTACACATGCACTTTACTTCTCAACTGTTTGTGTTCAGTTAAGACATAACTGACTATGTCTACAAGGATGCCAAGGAGAATTTTTTTTAATGTCTGTTCAAGTGCAAAAAGACGTGAAAGAGAGCTCAATATAATGTATTAACGCGCTTCGGATACTTGCGCACAGAAAACTTCCCACACAAATTGACTTCCCTTTCGCGTGTTCTTGAGCTCGAATATTTAAATTGGCAAGGCTTATACTTTCGTGACGATGCAACACTGGCCCGTCAACTGGCCCGTTCGCTTTTTTTTTTTTTTTACATTCATGTTATCACAATTTTGCATTGTTAGAATTCATTAAAAAAAAAATTACCGCCCATTGCCAATTGCTAAACTCACATTTAGCACGTGACGAGTGTTAATTCAAGGCCCTGGGTGCAGGGATGATGTCAAAACATGGAAGACTAATTCATCACTGGTTCCTTCGAGTTTTTTAAAAACAGTTATACAATTTGCA